TAGAATAGGCAATGTTCAAGTTTTCTATAGTTCCAGGAGTCACTAGGAGTCTGCTTTCAAATTTATTTTCATTCACCTGAAATTCACTTTTTGTTATTCTGCCACAATAAAGAACAGACCAACAGTGTCACTAAAATAAATTCTATCTGTATGACCCTGGTGTATGTTCACGCTGCCAAAGGGCAGGGAGACAGGCATGCTGTGGTCAGGCATGCTGTGGTCATGAAGACACAGGATGAGTGCCCAGGGGCAGCGGCTTCAGGGGCCAGCACCGTATCATGCAGCTCAGATGTTCTTTGGGTCCCTGTGCTTTAGGGAGGATTCTGAGCCATGGATACTTTTAGATCTTTGGAGATTGGTATGTAATTAACACAAATCATAGCAAAATGTCTCACTGTTCACCAAGAATTTTATTCACCAGGAATTTTATTCACCAGGAATAATTCTAATTGCCTGAAGTGCTAAGATATTAGAGCTTATCCACACAGACAAATCAATTCTAGAGGCTTTCTTATTCGCAGTGTTTTCCCTATCCTTTAACCTTAGCACAGATATTCTTGGAAAATGATTTGGCAACAATCATTGAATATGACTAACAGTCCTAGAAATTTATCTAACAGATGAATGACCAACTAAAATAGACTTCTAGAAAACTAAGTATTGGATGCCATTTATATTATCGCGCAAAATAAAGCATAAAAACTTAAAAATACCAACAATTTCAATTTTCTCTTCAAGACAAAAATAATTGGGACTTAATTTAATCCCAGGTTTGAATTAGGTGAGCCTTTATGGAAACAACACAGAGTAAAAACTGACTTTATGAATAAATACCTCAAAACAATAGTACTGCTGATAACGAAATGAAGTCATTTTTAAAATTTTCTACAAGTTTGTTCCCATTTCAGTAAAAACGTATAATGATGTCTTTTATAAACATCTGACACAGGCTTAATTTGTTCCCTCTTTAAAGACTTAACTGAATTCTTCCCTCTTTTATTGTGTGGCCCAATCACGGGCATAACAGGAGTAAACGTGATGCTTCTTCAGCTAAAGAAGATAGCCTGTCGAGGGCACATGAACAGGCAGCAGAGAGCCAAATCCCATGACGCAGTATATGACGCCTGTCCAGTCATTTCTTAAAACACTGTGACAAGCGGAGTTCACCACACTTAGGCTGATAGGCACCACTAGATTATGGCTGGCTTTAGTCTCTTTTCTACTGTGGTTTTTGCCTTTTGATAACTGACAGCAACAGTTTCCTGACCTTGGCCACTTTAAAAGATCAGCCGAGTCCTGAAATTCAAATCATTCCATACATTTTACGGCATGGAAGATTCAAAGCAAGAGACAGATGTCTTTCCTTCAAGTTCTGGCCACTTGTTTGAGTAAGAAGCTGCTGCTGATGACTTGAATGTAAAATATCTTGAACATTTCTGAGGCCACTGATACCCCTGTGTCAGAGCAAAATGGAAATGAAAGAGAAGTGGACCCAGGGATGGTCAGCACCCAGCTCTGAGGTCACCAGGGCGCCTCTGGTGGCAGGAGGTGGCTCGTAGGAGAGTGAGTCCCAACCATGGCCTGCACATTTTCTCGCTGTGCACTGTGATGACCATCCATCTCAGAGCTAAGTCACCAAAGCCACTGCACACGAGTCATGTCTCATGGGCTGACAGGGAGGCTGTTCGTCGCACTAGAGGGAGAGACAGAGCTGTGGACAGTCCTGCAGTGGGGATGCATATACGAGGGGACCCCCAAAACCCAGAATTATCTTTTGGAGGATGGGCCCCTTGTAATACAGGTTTCCCCAGACAGATGAGTGTTCTAGGAACCCACTGGCATTCGTGTACCAGTTAGCGTTGTGAGAGGTTGTGTTTGGCTTCAGTGAATCTGTTTTGGAGATTCTCTCAACACATTTGCTCATTTCGTGATGGGTGATTTACAAGCGCACCTGCCCACACTGCGTTGAGTGTTCCAGTCTTTGATCCCAAAATGGCATGGCTCCTGTGCCCCACCCTCCCGGTTCACTGGATCTCACCCGGAATGAATTTTTTTTTGTTTTGGGGATGAAGAACATCTTCAAAGGGAAGAGTTTTGCTGATGTGGAAGAGGTGAAACAAAAAATAGCAGAAGCTTGTTAATCGCTGGGTCCACTGTAAAGTAAACTTGCTGTCTGCTTGGAGAACTCCTAAGGCAATTATGTTTCTGTGTGAGTGTGTGGGGGGGTTGCCTAGAAAAAAACTCTTCCAATCTCCTGCCTGGAGGGCCACACACACTGGTACTCTGGGAAGCAAATGGAGGAGGGCCGGGGGTCTCAAGTTTAGCAAGTAAATGTCATCCCCATCCCTTTCCCAGTAGGGCAGTCTCATTCTGTAATGTGCCTGATCTCTTAGTCCACAGATACTCTGTTTACACTTTTCAGAGAATTACATTTTCAGTCTTCTGCTAAAGTGGGGAAGGGAACATCGTTCTTCCAGAAACTTATGAGCAATCCTCACATCTTCAGTTCTACTTTCAACCTCCTTTCCAGCTCCTGAGCTTCTGGAGAATTTTACGATCTAAATCGAGTTGCTCCTTGGTTTTTGCCTACTGCTGACTTTTAGGTTCAGCTTCTTAGTTCCCACCTGTCATCTGTCCTGCAAGTGACAAGGTTATGCTGCTCTTGCCCTCCTACCTGCTTCTCAGCCTTTGAGGGCTTATCTTTAACTGCCCTTACTGTCCTTGCAGTGGAGTTTCAGAAAGGCTCACGGCTGAACGCTGCACTGAAGGTGTCATCTTTAAACCAAAGTTCTATTCTGCTCTTTTATCCACTAAAGCATCAGCTCCTACACACCGAGAGGCACCCCACGAGAGCATGCATCAAACTCTTCCCTCTAGAGAGCAAAGCACATCATTTAATGTGCAGATGAGGTGGCTGGAACACCAGGAAGCTGAGTCTCTCGCCCGAGGAAATGCAGCCACACAGAGAGGTATCATGGCCTTCTATGCACCTTAGATGATTGTCCCTGAAAGCTTGAAGAGTTTGTCTTTTTCCAGTTTAGGACCATTTCAGCTACAGCTGGATCCTTCTCTGTGTGACGTCTGCCTCCCTCCCCACGGGCACACGAGTCCGCCATGCTAGGAATGAGCTAGGGGCAAGCCCTGCAGACTGATGTTTTGGTCAATGACCGACAGACTGCATACAGAACAGGGGCCCACCAGATTATAATGGAGACTGCCTCGGGCCGTTTTGGCGGTCACAACACCACAGCACAGTACAGCTACATGTCTGCAGTGATGCAAACCTGCCGGCTGCCAGTGGTGTTAGAGTACAATAGACAGTTATTTTGTGTAAGTAAAACTTAGTCACATAAACGACTATATTACTGGCACCTTTTCTACTATTTTAGAGTGTTGCTCCTTCTACCTGCCTCTAGAGGGTCCTTTGGTGGCCAGAGGAAGGCACTGCTGTCCCAGGTGATGACAGCGCCAGGCCTGCTGCCCCTGAAGACCCTCTGAGGCACAAGATGTGGAAGCACGGTAGCAACACTGATAGTCTCCACTCTGTGTGTGACTAGCCCCACGTGAATGCCTGTGCCTCAGTTTTTAACGAAATTTTAAAAAGTAAAACCTTCTTTAAATTAAAAATTGAAAAAACTGAAAAAAGCTTACAGAATAAAGATGTGAAGAATGTATTGTTGCGCAGCTACGCAATGGGTTTGTGTTTGCAGCTGGGTGTAATTACAAAAGAGTCAAAAAGTTTATAAAATTTATAAAGCTAAAAGGTTACAATGAGATATGGTTAACTTATTATTGAAGAAAGACAAGCTCAAAAAATAAATTTAGGGCAGCCCACCTCCACGGAGTCCATGATGTCCACGGCATGCAGTGATGGCCAGGTCTTCCCACTCACCGAACCACCCAGAGCAGCTGCCAGCCCTGCAAGCCCCATTCATGCTAAGTGCCCTTGACAGGTGCAGCATTCTTAACCTTTCACATCTTATTTTGCTGTTTCTGTGTTTAAATCTGACTGGATACACAGATACCACTGTGTTACACCTGCACACAGCCCAGGTGCAGTAGACCAGACCCTCCAGGCCTGTGTGAGTCACACAGTGATGGCCCCACAATGACGAGATCGCCAAAGGATGCGTTTCTCAGAATGTATCACTGCAGTTAAGTGACACGTGACTGCTATACAGTGCGGTTAAATGTGAAGTGGGCCTGTAACACTTCCAGGCACTACCAGATTTTTAAAGCAGTTGACAGGCCTTAGGTGGGTCCTTTTGAGGAATGTGTACAAAGGATCTTACAGAGCACCTACCAAAATACTGTAATTAAAATGCAGTTTGCATGGCTTTTAAAAACAAAGGTTAAAATAATTTTATTTTGAGTTGGACTCTCACTCTGTCACCCAGGCTGGAGTGTAGTGGCAGGATCACGGCTCACCACAGCCCGGCCTCCTTCCACCTCAACCTCTGAGTGGCTGGGGCCACAGGCGCATACCTCCAGGCCCAGTTTATTTTTTGAGTTTTGGTCGACACGAGGCCTTGCTTTGTTTCCCAGGCTGGTCTCAAGCTTCTGGGCTCAAGTAATCCTCCTGCCTCAGCCTCCCGAAGTGCTGGGACTACAGATGCAAGCCACTGCACCCGGCAATTCCTTTTAATTGTCAAGAAATACTTGAAACTTCAAAAAACCCACTTGGTTTGTTTCAAGTGCCACAATCTGTTATTTGCTATAATGTTGTTTTAGTTTATAGGAAAACACAGGTTTTGGCCAAAAGGCATTTGTAGATGAGAAAAGGACCGAGATTTGGGAAAGATTCAGCTTAGTTTACACTGACGCTGCTTCTTCTTCCAGTGCAGTATAGACCACAGCCCTGAAGTATTACTACATTATAAATAAGAAGGAGACTCCTGAAAACACAATTCACTTTGGCTAGCAAAAGCCAGCACTCAAGGGGCTTTCAAAAGCGCAGCCCGAGAGGAACACGAAGCATGAAGAGAAGCCCCGACACTCACAGACTCCTTTCTGCCCATGGTTTTGCTGTGGGAGCGGGAGCGGGCGACGGTGCCGAAGAAGGACTCCCTCTTGGCGGCAGACGGTGGCGGGGAGCCGGTGGCCTCTCTTCCTCCGGGCAAGCTCTCGACGCTCGGAGACGAGCTGATGTTTTTAGGACTTTGCCCTGTGAGAAAAGTTAAGTAGCAATAATGAAACACCAGACTCTCTCAGGAAGCCATTCAGTCTACCGCTTTTAATAAATCGTGACTGATGACGACACTATTTCATCGGCATGTCAACATGATGACACTATGGAAAATCAAAACGCATGTATTTATGCTTATACACCAGAACAGCTGCCAACTTTTAAAGAACAGCTACGCACTACTGCAGATTTCTAGATGTAATGTATACTGCAACAGTCCAGGCACTGCACACATATTAAAGAAACTAAATGGCCAATTTCCAGAAGTCCTTGCCTCAATGACTGGAATTTCCTAATGAAGTCATCCCTCAGTTACAGAAGCCAGAGCCTACTGTCCTGCACATCAGATTAGTAAGATCTAAACATGTAAGTCCTCTACCAGTTTCCCAAAGAGCCTCTTCCCTCCCGTCGGGAAAGACGTCACCGGGAACTGAGGTACACGAACACTCCTGTACAAATGCGGGGAAGAGGCTGCACCGACTTTTCAGAAAATATGACAGGACAGCAAGTGCAAAGGCCCTGCGGCAGGACTGTTGCGTATGCAAGGGACAGCACGGCTACAGGAACGAGTGACGGCAGGGTGGAGAGGGAGTCTCGGGTGGCAGCACAGCAGGGGTTTGCAAGTGACGCCAGCGACTTCACACCCAGATGGGACTCCTGGCGACCCCACAGGGAGCTTGAGGGGTAGCGTGGCAGAATGTGACTGACACGCTGAGAGGGTCGTTCGGGCTGCGGTGTTGAGAATGGAACTGGAGACGGGGTGGGGGCGGCGCAAAGACAACCACAGGGACACCAGCTTTGGCCACTGCGAGACTGAAGGGCACAGAGCGAGTACAGCCGTTGGTGAGAAGCGGTCTGATTCTGAACAGCACCGGCTGGATTGACAGATGAACTCATCAGGGGGTGACAGAAAAAGAAGAGTCAAGTTTAGCCGAACCCCAGAGTTTGGGCCTGAGCAAGAAGCATGATGACACTGCCGTCTCCTGAGGCAGCGAAGGGCGGGGGAGCGGGCGTCAGGGCTGAGGGCAGCAGCTTAGTTTGGGCCTGCCGGCTTGCGATGCCTCCTCAGATAACCAAGTGGAGACGGGGCAGTGGCACCGAGGCTGGCTCTCGGGAGAGCGATCGAAGACAGAGAGGTAAGCGTGGAAGCCAGCAGCACCGAAGTCACCAGCGCCGAGGAGGCAGGAAAGGGCTGGGTCCAAAGACGACCCCTAGGAGCTGAGAGTCTGAAAGTCAGAGGCATCCTAGGAAACCAGCAAAGCTGGCTGAGGAGCAGCCAGAGGAGGAAGAAATCTGAGCAGCGACAGAGGCTTCGCAGAGTAATCTTCCCATAGGGTCACCAGGCACAAAACAATATGGCAGGACCGGTATTACCCATTCCCAGACCCTGGGGTCCCCGATCTCAGGAGAATTCGATCACAGTGAAGCCTCCTCTGTATCAAATGTCAGGGATTTGGACTGAGTCGCTGTCTTCCAGGGGTTCAGAGCCGAGGAATGGCGGCGAATTACAGACTGAGAATGACAATGAGAGCATCCTTTCTCAGAGACAGTCGCCGAGGCACACTCCACTTGGCAGGTGCTGACATGGGCCCTTTAAGGAAACACGTGCTGCTTCCGGGATGATGGTCAGTGGACAGCCCCCCTGCTGTTAGGTTGCTGGATCTGCCTCAGGCTGTGGGCCAAGTTCAGGCTCTTCGAAGGGCGGTTGCAGGGTGATCCCAGCTAGCGTTGGGCAGAAGAGGCCTACCTACTTCCCCCAACTCGGGACTCCTCTGCCAGGAAGTCCTGGCTGCAGCTTCTTGCTGGCCGGCAGGGACTTCTGCGGGTCTACATCCCGGCCTGCCGCAGCCGCTGCCCGGCCGGTTTCCTCCTCTTTCCCTTGCACTCATGTTATTCCCCAACACACCCTCCGCCCTTCTAATTCCACCTCAGGGTCAGCTTCCAGAAGAACCCAACCTGTAATGTGTGATCTTGGAGCTGATCCTGAGGCCCCTGAGGGCCTCTGAGGGCAGGAGAGGGCGGGGTAGAACAGGCCCAGGGCCTGGACGCTCGTGGCTATTCCAGCAAGAGCGTGCAGTTTCCACCCAGGTGTTTCCCTTCCCCTACTCTGCCTCCATGTCTCTCACCTCCAGAGCTCCAGGCCTTGGCATCTCAAGCTGCCTTTCACGGGAATGAGCTCAGTCGCACGGGGGTTCCTAGGATATTAGAGCCAAAAACCATCTCAGGAACGACCTAGTGATTTACTTTCGCTCTTTCAACTTAAACCACAAAGACACTTTGAGCATAAAGGAGCTATGAAGGTAATTCTTCAAGATAATTCACGACCTAGAACATTCACCTCTTAAAGTGAGTAAATCAGGCACTTTTAGGTCTATTCACAGAAATGCACTTCCATCACCACTACCTGACTTTAGATCAGGAGTTAAGCTCAATATCCCTTTCCCCACAGTCCTTGACAACCCTGACCCACTTTCTGTCTCTGGATTTGCCTTTTCTGATATTGTATTACATGTAAGTGGAATGACGCACTGTTGTGACTGGCTTCTTTCTCTTGGCACGATGTTTTCAAAGTTCATCCGTGTTACAGCATGCATTACCACTTTATTTCTTTTTATTGACACACAGGATCCAGTGTATGAATTTACCACACTTGGTGTCCATCTCCTGGCTAACATGAAGACCGTGGCTATGAACACTCATGTATGGTTTTGTGAGAACACCTGTTTCCATTTTTCTCAGGTAGACACCAGGGAGTGGCACTGGGGGTCAATACGGCAACCCTGGTTTTAACATTCTGAAACACTACCAAACTGTTTTCCAAAGTGGCTACGTCACCTCACAAATTTCTCCACATCCTTGTCAGCACTTACTAGTAGTCCTCCTAGTAGTGTGAGATGATATCTCATTGAGATTTTGATTTTTCCCAATAATTTATGATGTTGAGCAGCTTTTCAGATGATTAGACACTCGTATATCTTTTTGGAGCAATGTTTATTCACATTTTTTGCCCATTTAAAAAATTGAAGTATCTGCCTTTTCACTATTGAGCTGTAAGAGTTCTTCATACATTGTGGGTACAAGTTCCTTATCAGATATATAATTTGCAAAAATTTCTCCCATCCTGTGCCTTGTCTGTTTATTTTCTTAATGGTATCCTTTGAGGCCAAAATGTGTTTTAATTGGATAAAGTTCCATTTACCTATTTTTGTCTTTTGTTGCTTGTGCTTATGGTGTCATCTCTAAGAAATCCTGCCTAACCTGAGGTCATGAAGATTTACTCAAGTTTTTTTCTGAGAGAGTTATGGTTATAACTCCTGCATTTAATTCCATGATCCATTTTGAGTTAAATTCTGTATATGTGGGAAGAAGTATTTCAGCTTCATTCTTTTGCATGTGGACATTCAGTTTGCCCAGAACTACTTGTAAAAAGACTTTTCTTTCCACATTGAATGATCCTGGCACTCGGTTGAATATCAGTTTACCATGAACATAAAGTTTTATTTCTATGTTTTCAGCTCTATTCCATTTATTTACATGATGACTTTTATGTCAGTATCACATTGTTTTCACTACTGTAACTATATTATACTTAGGATCAAGACGTGTGAGTTCTTTAACTCTGCTCTTTCAAGACTGCTTTGCTATTGGGTGTGCTTTGCATTTCCTTATGGATTTTAGGATAGGTTTGTCAATTTCCGCAAAAAACAAATCTGGGATTCTGACAGCGAGGATAACAAATAGGTAGATTAATTCAGGCAGCACTGCCATATGAACGGCAAAGGGGGCACACAAAAGCACACTTATACTGTCTTTTACATTTACTGACACAGCTGCCTTTACCGGCACTTCTTCATGCAAATTTGAATTAAAGGTCTAGTGATCTTTCATTTCAGCATGGAGGACTCTCTTTACTATGCCTTACAGGGAAGGTTTGCTAGCAACACATACTCAGTTTCCACTTATCTGTAACTGTCTTCATTTTTCCTTTCTTTTTGAAGAACGGTCTTACTGGATACAGAATTCTCAGCTGACAGGCTTTCTACATATATCACTACGAATATATACCCCTACTGTCTTCTGGCCTCCTTTTTTTGTTATTGTTTGATTTTTGAGTCAGGGTCTCTTTCTGTCACCTAGGCTACAGTGCAGTGTCATGATCATGGCTCAATGTGGCCTCAACCACCTAGGTTCAGGCAATCCTTCCACCTCAGCCTCCCGAGTAGCTGTAACTACGGTATGTGCCACCATGCCCGGAAATTTTTTGTAGAGATGAGGTCTCATTATGTTGCCCAGGTTGGTCTCAAACTCCTGGGCTCAAGCAGTCGTTCTGCTTCAGCCTCCCAAAGTGCGAAGATTACAGGCATGAGCCACCGTGCCCAGCTCTCCTTGGTTTTTGATGAGAAGTCAGCTGTTGATCTTATCAAGAATCACTTCCACACCATGAGACGCCTTTCCCTCGCTGCTTTCAATATACTTTGTTGTTAGCTTTAACCAGTTTGACTATGATGCAGCTAGGTATGGTGCTTAGTTTATCCTGCTTGGAGTAAATTGAGCTTCTTTGATGTATACTGTTTTTCATAAGACTGTGAAATAGGTTGGCCAGCATGTCTTCAAACATTCCTTCCACACCTCTTTTACTCCTCTGTGTGTTATTATGCTTGATGGTGTCCTGCAGCTCTTTGAGGCTCTGTTCATTTTTCTTCATTATTTATTTATCTGTTTCTCAGACTGGATATCTCAAGTGACATATATTCAAGTTCTGAAGCCTTCTTTGGTAAACTCAATACTGCTATTGAGCCCTTATAGTAAATTTTTCGTTTCGGTTATTATATTTTTCAACCCCAAAATATCTATTTAATTCTTTTAAAAATTTTATTTCCTTGTTGACAGTCTCGATTTGGTGAGACACTATTCTCATTCATTTCTGTAGCTCTTCAGACATGGCCTCCTGCAGTGTTTTGAACATGTTTACAGGAACT